AAATTAATAAATAAATCAAAGAGGAAGAAGGAGTACATGAAGTTATCAGGAAAAAGTGATGGGGAGATATGGGAGGAGTTGGAAGGGAGGGAGTGGGCATGGATTTGAAAAAAAAACCTTATATGAATGTATGAAATTCTCAATAAATTTTTTTAAGTTAAAAAAAAGAATACCATAGTGTATATTAGAATTGGGGAAAACCGTTAATAACACGACATTCTGGGCTTTGTCCTCACAATAAACAGTCAATTCTTTAGTAAGTCTATCTGCATATGCTTCTTCCCTAAGTTATTTAGAAATAAGATGATCCTTAAGTTTGTCATGGTAGTTCTTGTAAGAGAATTGTATACTTGTATTCTACAGGCTTGTCTTGATTTCTATTCCTGTTTTTAATGGTCTCTGGTCAGATTGAGAGCCCCTGTCATACTTTGTGAAGTTTTTTTTTTTTTTAAGTTATAGAAGAGGGCTGGGGAGATAGCTCAGAGGATAAGAGCACTGACTGCTCTTGCAGAGGACCCAGGTTTGATTCTCAGCACCCACATGATGGCTATGAACAGTTCTTAACTCCAGTTCCAGGGGAATCTGAAGCCCTCTTCTGACCTCTGCAGCATTGCACTACAGGGGTGCACTCACATATATTCAGGCAATACCCTCATACACATAAAATAAAAATAATAAATAAAATATTCAAAGTTATAGAAGAAACAAATATTTGATCAATATTAATTTGCATAGTATTATATTATTTTCAACTCATACTGACATATTTGCCAAATGTAGCTATACATGTTCCCGAAGACTGCTTTCAGATTAGTTCTTATATTCTTTCTTTCTTATACTTTAAAAATTATATTTATCGATTTATTTATTTGGTTAAGTGTGTGTGTGTGTGTGTGTGTGTGTGTGTGTGTGTGTGTGTTTGCCACTGTGCACATGTGGAGGTCAGAGGACAATTTTGCAATAGTCAGTTCTCTCCTTGTACTATATGCATCCCAGGGATCAAACTCAAGACATCACATTTGGGAGCAAGCATCTTTGCCCATCGAAAGACTTCACTGACCCTTAGTTCTTGTAGTACTTTGAGTATTCAGCAAACGACCTGACATCAATTGGTCATATGAGATTAAATGATGATAATGGAGAGAATCATGAAAATTGTCTTACTACATTAATAACGGATGACCACTGAATAAATGCACTGGTTGTAACTATGCCTTAGGAGATACTTTAAATTACTTTTTCATATCACAATCAGTGACCCATGCATACTAGCTTTCATTTTGCTAATTTGTATTATAACTCCGGTCTAAAGAAGCAATGGAAAACTTGAGTCTCCCACTATCCAGTACCATGAATTCCAGATTAAAGAAAACAGGGAGGTTCTGAAACTTTAAAATTGGCTCTTGCTCTGAGACCTAAATTTGAGACCTTTAAACTGATGCATTTCTTAGTAGGTAGTAACTACTTGTGGATTTAGGCTTCCTAAGCCATCTAGCTTACTAACTACATAATCATGTAGAGTACCATGTACAAATGAAAGTTTAATTTGAAACATATAGGGCAATCTGTTCTATAGAGAGTTATAAAGTTAAATTTCTGCTTCTAGGCAATAAAACTAAGATTATACATGCTATCTATATGTACTGTTTTAAATTTAGATTTGTTTTTAAATTATATTTTCTATACCTACAGGAACTGCAATTTCTAACTTTGAAGGTCTTGATCTCTTCTTTGTCTCTGGCATAGGTGGTTTGGCAAATGTCAATGCAATGTGTTCTTGTTTCCGTTTTTCAATATTTTGAGTGACTGAAATCAGAAAGGACAATAAAAATCTCGAGTTAATAACCAAGCTTGCATCAACATTGAAAAATATTCTTAATTTGGAACTATAGTATTTAAGTAAATCTAAGTTGTAATCCAAAATACAGCTCTTCTGCTTACTCTTTGCAGTTCATCTGTGTACCATTTAGGGGACATAAGATATTTCCCCATTTAACACTGAATTATGTTTAACATTTAAAATTTTACTTTTATATAAAACCACAATGTTACAATATTCTTTTTAAGTCTACTGAGAGAAGAGCTGGAACTAAAGGCAAAAATTTATACCACTGTAGAAAGATTTTATTTCAATATAGAACTTTTTCAAACTTACAGCTGTTCAACAAATGGCTTATTTACTAACAACTTGCATCTCTTTAACTTTACTTGCCTTTTTCCATTTTGAGTTTTCTAATTGGGAATTTTGAGCACAAGCGGGAGCTTATGCAAGTAAGTGCGATTCATATTATGAGAAAGAAGAACTAATTATGTCTCTTATTATAAATCAGATAATCCATACATCAAAGTCAGAAATATTTTGCAGACACATCAACATGCATATATGTATACACATGCATATGTCAAAACTGTAAAAAATTCAAGAGAATTTTTTATCACATTTAATAGAGGATATTTGTTATTTGTTGCTAAGGAACTTGTAAGAAAATTCAAAGAACAAATTTTTACTTAGAATGTAGTTGTCATATGTTCTGACGTTTACTCATTTTCTGTAAAAGATAAAAATTATTTTAAATTTATTCCATGGTTAACCATCATTATAATTCTTGATTATCATTCAATAGCTACATTTGATAAGTCATCTGCATTTTCTCATCATCAATTCTTCAATATTAAACAAAAATGAACCAAAATAGTGAAATGTATTTTAATTTGAGTCAAAACTAATTTTGTTTCCTAATGAAAGATTTAGTATCCAGCACAAAGCCTGGTCTATATTAATTGATTAACAATTATCTTAATAAATCTTTAAAGACATTGAATAAAAATACATAATACAGAGGTTATCAACTAGAAGTAAATGTAAGAATTAATTTGGAATCTTTCAAAAACATAAGCATGTAAGATTACTAATCTTCAACTCATAATCATAATCCCCGGATTTGGTTAATCAAGCCTGCAGTTAAAATTTAAATACAAAAAAGAAAAAGTGAACCACGTTTTCATTATCCACTTGTCAGTTGAGGGGACACTTAGGTTGCTTCCATCTCTTAGCTATTGTGAAAAGAGAAGCAACAAACATAGATGTACAAGTGTCTCTGCAATAGGATGAGTTCTTTGGGTACATGCCAAGGAGTGGTATAATTGGGTCAAATGGTAGATTCATTTGTAGTTGTTTTTTTTAATTTAATAACCACATGGTTAGAAGAAGCATTTCATTACAGCTTTAACAAATTCAGTAAAAATTTCCAGAGCAAAGATATATCTCTTTCAAAAGTGGCTGTAAATTTTTAGGATCACAGTTGAATTAATACAGGTATACAATATTGAACTCAGTATAAACCCTGTAAGACATAAAATTGAATGAGTTTTTAACCTTTAAAGATCTCCATTTAATTTTAAAATATACTGTTTCCTACAGAAAGACTCATTTTTAATGCTACTAACGCTTAGATGTTTGCACATGTGTCTCTAATCTCTATGTATCTGATTATTACTAGTCACAGTCGGTTGCACTTAGATCCTTGGCACCTGAGTATGGATATAAAGTCATCAGGTAGCTTTCAATTGTAATGTTTATCACCTCTACTAATGAACATGAAGTAAATTTTTGTGCTTCCTCCTCGAATGTAACTCAGTTTTTAATTTGTTGATTTCCTTGTGTGTATATCATAGAGAACATCCCAAGCAATCTTATTTATCTATATACCCACTTCCCAAAAGGCACCCTCCCATAGCCTCCCCCCATCCCCACTGGAGCCCATATACTCTGCATCCCTGTTACTGTCCACTGTGGATGCATAAGCACTGGGGAATTGTTTGGGGCACTGACAACACAGTGGACAGTAACAGCGATGACAGAGTATATGGGCTCCAGTGAGGGTGGGGGGAGGCTATGGGAGGGTGCCTTTTGGGAAGTGGGTATATAGATAAATAAGATTGTTTGGGATGTTCTGTATGAAATACACACACAAAAATCAATAAATAAAAAGTCATTTTAGGAAGAAGCATAAATTTTTCTTCATGTTAATTAGTAGATGTGAAAAACATTACCATTGAAATCTCCCTGTTGGCTTTATATCCATGCTCAGATGCCAAGGATCTCAGAAAGTAACTGACTGTGACTAGTAATAATCAGATATAGAGAGAATAGAGATGCATTGCAAACATCTAAGTGCTGGTTGCATTAAAAGGAGTTTTTCTGTATGAAACAGTGTACTTTAATAATGAAATGGAAATCTATTTTGAAGGTTAAAACCTCACTCAATTTTATGTCTTATAGGGTTTATACTGAGTACAATATTGTATAACTGTATTAATTCAACTGTGAACCTAAAAATTTACAGCCAATTTTGAAAGAGATGTATCTTAGCTCTGGAAATTGTTATTGAATATGTCAATGCTGTTGTAACAAAATACTCTTCTAATTATGCGGCTATTAATTAATTTTTTTAAAAAGTTAAGGAGACAAGAATTTGGCCACCAGGTAAAACCATTTTGGAGAACATTTTCTGGCAAAATCTAATAAAACTGTAAACACATATATCCAATGACTGAATGCTCCTCTTCTGGGATAGCACAGAGAAATTCTCAAAAATGTTTCATAAACATTCCTTACAGAAATCAAAAAGAACAATTGGAGAGTGGAGATCACAGAATGCCCACAATCAAGGTAATAGACAGAGGCATCCACATGATGGATGCTATGCAGCCTAGAGATCACATGGCGCCATCTGCATGTTTCAGTATAGCCAGACCTTGAAAAAAAAACAGTGTTGAATGAGAACAGCAAGTTGCAGAATCGTACGGTGCAGGGTGGCACCATTTCTCACACAGTTAAAAACATGAGATGTTATACATTAGCACCACACGTATGTGCTACGAAAATATAATGACGTGGCTTGGGACATATCGAGTCCATCATAGTTCCTCTAAGTACGGGGAGGAATGGGATTGTTTCAAGGACATGGGAATTTTAACTCTGTAGTGTTTTATTTCTTTTTGAAAAAGCTCTGAAATAAAAGTTGTAAAGTGTTTGTTAAAAAAAAGAAAAAATTAAAGTAACACATGGATTCAGAAAAAATGTATTTTTCCACAAAAACATACTCAACTCTGTGTTATAGCTATTGCTCTGAAGATTTTTGAAAAAAATCATAAATTTCTTAAATAATGCATGTTTTTATTTTTCTTTTCCACATAAAATTGGTCGATGACCTTATAGTCTGTAGCTAGAGTAGGCTAATTCAATGGAGTATCTAGAAATTATGATGAGCTGTGTCTGGAAAAATACTTTAGAAGACTGCCATGCTGACTAGATGGCTTTTACTCTGGAGAAAAACCACATTGATTTTGTCATCAGAGACTCAGTCTCTAAGCATGATTCACTTGCAAGCTGTCCTTGACTGTCCTAGGCACCAGGCATGTATTTGAAGGCCCCACTGCCAGGCAATACCCATGCCACAGACATTACAATGCTCCCTGAACTGATATGATCTACATATATTCACCCTTCAAGTTGTGGTAGCCCTATACTGGCTTTCACAGACCCAGTTCCAGGCCGATCCCTGAAACATCAGAGACCAGCCCAGTAGCTCCATATCTAGTCTCTACATTAGACACATTCTATACAAATTCTAGGCCTAGCCAGTGCTAGGAAAGCCTCCCAAGACCCTGATAGACTTGTACAGTTCTACTCCAAATAACACAGCCCTATCTTTCAAACTCACATAGCACTAGTCTAGCCATAAGTGGGCAAGACTTGAGGCCAGGGCCTTTGATCCTACCCCCATAAACCCAGCCTCTGGATGAGCTACTCAAGGCAGATACAAAGACTATTCAGTTATACTTATGCCTATGAATCTGTAGTCTATAGACCAAACTCTACAAATTCACACATCAGCAGACTCAGTGTCCAGGCTAATCCCTGTACATTCCATTGCCTGACACAAGGATTACCATTATGGACTCCCATGCTCCAGGACAGCCTGTATGAATTAAGCCTCCAGGAAAGTCCTTGAATATATAGGCTCTTGCTGACTCTCAAAAGGTCAGCCCCTGGAGCTGAGGTGCCAGACTGACCTAAATGCATTTTAGTGTACATGGTTCCAGGCTTCAGGTTTGCACCTGAAGGTCAATTGAGGGATCTCTCAGATTATATTGGCATCTGGACATGTCTGTAGAGGAGTCTTGATATTACCAATTGATACTGGAGGACCCAGGAATAATGGGTGACACCATTTCCTGGACAAGTATTCCTTGTCTCATTAATAAAGCTAGGCAAGTATGAGACTGTGAGTGAGCCAATAAGCATCATTCCCCTATGGGTTGAAATGAGCAGCAGACCCCATCTTGGTCAAAGAATTATTGACAGCTGATTACTTCTGGGTGAGGAAGAGCTGATCTTCTTATGGTGCTAGGGGGTGGATCTCTAGATAGGCTGACTAGACCCCAGTGGATGAACTTGTACTGAAATACATCTGGGGACACTAACTTTACATGATAGGCCTTAACACAAATGACAGAATGCATTAACTCCAGTGGGGCAGGCCTATGGTAGGGTGCCAAAGGGGAAGGGGGTATAAAGATGACTTTCTGTATGAAATACACAAAAATTCAATAAAAAATTTAAAAAAACCCTTTAGTTCCAAGTCCACCCATGGGCATGCCAAATGTTTTGCACAGAATGTCATGGTGGGCTGACTGGTAAAAGACTTTTCTTACTCCACGAAGTCTATAAAAACTAAAATTAGTATACAATTCTTGAATTTGCAGACAGCAAAACACAGTCATGAGGATCCACGAGAAGAGCAAAGAAATGTACCTGCCTTAATGAAGTAGCAATTTATAAACTCCTTGAAAAAAAATAAAAATAATCATTTTAAGGAATCTCAGTGATTTACAAGCAAACAAATAGAGATACAGACAATTTCAGGAAATCAAAACAAAAATAAAATGAACCATTCTACAAAGACACAGACGCCACACTAAACAGTGAAACAAATTGTGGAGCTGAGGAACACAACGACTTTAATGAAAAATCCTCAGTGAGCTTCCACAGCAAACTTATACAAGCAGAAGAAAGAACCAATGAACTGATTAGGGAAGACAAATTAGTTGAAGTTAGTGATCAAAGGAACAAAAATTTTAAAAAAGAAGAGCCAAGCATCCTATGAGAATTATGGGATACCATAAAGTAAACCAAAGCACACATTATTGATGCTTC